AACATAACATTACAAACAAAATTTTTAACTAAGATGAGTCTCAGCTTATAAGCAATACAATGGAAAATGTAGAAATGTGTTTTTTATCTAAAAAATTAGGAGATGGCCCATCTTTAAGCTTGAATTCCTTAAATTTGGAGCAACTGTTGTCAAATGAGTGCTCATAAATATTTGCATTATTAATTGATGCAAATTCTTTCCTTTCCCTGGTAGGCCTTACTGTTCTACATTGTTCTGGGTGGCCTCTTTGTCTCCTCCCCAGTTCCTTATCCTCTCTTCAGCTTTTGATGCCTGCATTTATCACCACATTGGGGTATTTGATTAGTAAGAGGTTTTAACATGCTCACAAGCCGAGGGTAAAATTGTAGAAATCTCTAGTATAACTTCACCTCTTTTTTCCAATTCGTTGTATAAATCATCCCAGAAAGTACACAAGTTTGTAAGACTGTCCCAGCTATCATTCCCCACCAAATTCCCTGCAAAAGTGAGAGCATATAACAGTAAACCATTAAAATTCCTTTTCTGTTGTATGCATGTCAAATTAAGTCATCCCAAGCACTAGCAGCGTCTTTGGGGCTAGCAATGTGCATTAAACACCTTAACCCATACCAAGGTTCAAGTCTCTATTGGAGCAGTTGTAATATTCCCCCCTTCTCTCAAAATAAAAAAATAAATCATCCCAAGACAGTTGTGACGAGCAGCATTAGCATTTTTGGAAGAATTTGGCTACTTTAAAGTATTAATATATGTATATTAGTACTGGGAGGAGGATTTAGCTAAAGAACAATCATGGAGTGGAGCCAGGATTACCTTAACACCCAGGTCAAGCTTGAAGCCTAGAATAAGACCTAGAGGAACCCCAAATATATAATAACAGGCAATGTTCACATAGGCAACAACAGCTTGCCATCCAGCTCCAATAGCCACCCCTGCACACAAACAAGCACAAAGGTTCTCAGTATTTTTCCCTGCATAACAAGAGAAAACAACAATGAACCTATCTTTTTTACCCGAGAGTACAGGTTGAATAGTGTTCATGGCTATGCAGAATGCCAACAATGGTGTAAGCTCCTTGACAACTGCTTGAACTTCTGTGTCACTCGAAAACAAGGCTGGATACTTGTCCCTAAAGATTATCAGGATGATTGCGATCAAGACCCCAATCGTGAAGGAAGTTATTACCGCCACCACCAGTGAAAATTTTGCTGTTCTTGGATGCCCTGCTCCCAGTTCATTTGACACTCTAACACTGCACATGTTTTTGGACACCAATGAGTGAAGGTAATTAAATCTGTTCTTGACTAGACGACTGAAATAACTGTTTCTGCAACATACCTCACGGCTATATTCATTCCAAGAGCTGCCATGACGCTCCATCCCACTATGTTACAACTGCAAATTCAACAATAGCAACCGACTTTCAAACAAAACAAATGAAATTTCAAAAATCATTCAACTTAAAATCTTAAACTCTAAAATAAGTTATACATCCCTTTGCACGCAATAATTTTTTTTTTTTCTTGTCCCTAAGCCTATGTTTGGATAAAAATTAGTAAAGGAAAGGAAGGGGACGGGACGGGAAAAAAGGGGAGAAGAAGTGAATGAAAGGAAATTGTTGATATTAATTTTGTTTGGATAGTTAAAAATGAAGGAGAGGAAAGAAATATATTTTCATTTAATTAAATAATTTACTGAAAAATAAAATTAAAAAAAAATAACATTTTTTAAATTTATTAATTAAATAAATAGTTGTAATAAAATATTTATATATATTTATTTTTAAAAAAATTAAAAATTAAAAATTAAAATAAATTAAATAACATAATATGTCCCAATTCCTCCGATTGGAGGGATTAAAAACAAAGGAGGAGAGGGGATTCCATCTCCCTCCATCTCCTTCCCCTCCATTAAAATTTTTTACCCAAACAAATGAAGGTGTTCTCTCCCCTCACTCTCCTCTCCTTCCCTCCCAACATCCCCAATCCAAACAAAGTGTAAAAGAAAATTTTTGTCCATTGCATTTTAGTCGTTTCGGGTTCATTTTGAGGGGGGACTTTTCTGGTGCATGTATACCATCCACTCGTTATTCAACTGCTAGTATTCCACGGAACAAAGAAAGCATTTAGTCGTGATTAGCGGCATGGGTCAAGACTTTTGGTAATTACCTTCGAGTGATTAGACTGTACACTTTGATGATGATTTTTCTCTTGTTCTACGAAAAAATCAAAGGGGTTTTCCAAATGTGTACTCTATTGTAACTAGATCAGACAAAAAATCAAAGAGGTTTTCCAAATGTGTACTCTACTATAACTAGATCGGAGAACATCATAAGGAAATTTATATAATTTTAATATTATATGATATTATAAAT